GCTTCTAGGCCCCGGAAATCGCGAAAATCAAGCGCAGAGGAATTCTTTTCGTGGACCAGGGTCTGTTATATCACGAAGGAAAAGATGGATATGTTCGTCTCTGCGTGCCCGCAAGCCTCACGCACGAATTGATGCAAATGGCACACGACGACAAGCACCACTTTGGCGTTGTGAGAATGCTCAAGGAGTTGGAAACCTATTCGATCAGGAACGTCTCTGGCAAGCGAAAAGCACATCGCCAAGTGCAAAGCTTGCTGCCTTGGACAGACTGATCGACAACAGCTTGCTGGAAGCTATCTGCCCAATCGACCCCCGATGCTTCCAATGCAGTCAATTGCAATGGACTTCATCACAGACATGCCTGCCGTCTCAGCTATGGGCTCACCCTGGCATATTGAAGGCTTTAATGCCTTTAATCAATTACTTACAGTCACTTGCTTAGCTAGCAAGCGATGCCTACTGATTCCAGGCAATGCAAAGTATAGCGCCAAGGACTGGGCAGCCTCCCTAGCTAGGCAGCTCATGCTATGTGATTGGGGCATGCCGCGCACGATAGTCAGTGACAGAGACCGCAAATTCACCTCTGCTTTCTGGCAAGGGCTCTGGAAGGCCTTTGGCACCAGAATCAGCATGACAACGGCATATCATCCGCAGGCGGACGGCTTGGCCGAGCGGCGCAATCAAACAGTGGAAACAGCGTTGCGACTGGCCTATATTGAGGACCCCAACCTTGACTGGAAGACCCTTATTCCTTCGCTGCAGTGGCATCTAAACACAGCCTACAACACCAGCACGAAGACCTCAGCCCATGAACTAATGTACGGTTTCCCCCTGAAAGGGCCCCTGGAGGCTGTTGATCGCACAGCCAGCGCAGAGGCAGACGAATTGCCCTACATCAAGGAAGCCTTGCGTAAGCAGGCCAGCCTAGCTATGGACCTTGCAGCGATGAAGGCCAAGCGTTGGTACGATGCCAAACACCGACCTATCCATCTCAAGGCTGGAGACAAGGTATATCTCAAGCTTCATCAGGGATATCACCAGCCAGGCAGGCCACCCAAGAAGTGGTCACAACAGCGGGAAGGCCCCTTTGTGATCAGAAGGATGGTTGGAGACCTGGCCTGTGAATTGACCTTCCAGAGCAAATTAAGGTCCACCCAGTGATCTCAATACACCACCTCAAGCCAGCTCACGAAGGCTGCTTTGAAGAAGCTCACCCCGGACCAGTAGAAGTCACAAGGGACTTTACGGACCAGGAAGGCGAATTCTACGAAGTTGACAAGCTTCTGGACGTACGGGTCAGGAAGATTGAAGAAACAGGAAGCCCGTCACGGAGTACTTGGTCCACTGGAAAGGATGGGGCAGCATGCATGATCAGTGGGTCAGGAAGGAAGAGATATCGTCAAAGGCCCTGGATGAGTTCCACGGGCAGACGACGGGACCGCGAGTGGTTCGCAACAGCAAAGCAAAGGGACGATCGGAAAGTTCTGACATGTAGCCTTTGTTGAGGCAGTCACTGAGGACAGTGGAGTTTTCTTTTTGAGGCCGGCATTATGATGCGTTTTTGCGTGTCCCTACGCACACTGGAGCGTTGGGCACGGCACCAAGCATCAAGGACACCGGCTGCCGCACGCACAGCCATGTGAACAGGCAGCCGTGTGAAACAGGCAGCCGTGTGAACAGGCATCGGTATGTGGCTGCCTTGTAAACCGGCCGGATCGCCTAGATAGTCCGACCTGGCTGCCTCCTACATAAGGATGAGGCAGTCATAGCTTAGTTGGAGAGACATCGATCCCACTTCATCTCATTCATATGCAAAATGCATCAATTTCCCATCGTGCTTTGTATTGGACAACAAACCCGGTAGAACACGAGTCGTAGGATAAAGTTTATGCATTTTCGCACTTAATTTAGCTTCTCTAAGTGAAAAGATATACGAGAAGCATCTAGTGGATTTCGAGTTCAAGTATACGGTAATTACATCGAATCACGCTACATCAAGACGTATTGACTTGATCCTTGCAAAGAAAAGCTTGTGAAGCGCTAATAGACTTGTCACATTGATTTTTCTCTATCGGAATGCATGATAAACGAAGGCCGATTATATTTCCGAGAGAGGCTATACGTACCCGCAGGCGAACTACGGACCCTTCTCACTCAACTCGCCCACGACAGCGTCGAATCAGGCCACCCCGGGAAAAACAAGCTATACGAACTCATTTCACGCTCTTATTGGTGGCCAAGGCTTAGCGCCGATACGAAACAATTCACACGCAATTGCCACGGATGCCTGAGGAACAAGACCTCCCGGTTACGGTACCAGGGGACGTTGAAACCGCTCCCAGTTCCCTTGCAAAGATGGAGGACTTGTCCGTTGACTTCATTGGCCCAATTCAGCGCACAGCTCGTGGATTCAACGCAATCATGGTGGTAGTCGATAGGCTGTCAAAGGACAGACATTTCACGCCTTGCAAGACCGACATGAAAGCACATGACTTGGCAACGCTCTTCGTACGAGATGTCTGGAAACTCCATGGACTACCGGATTCAATCGTATCTGATAGAGGACCACTGTTTGTCTCGGAATTCTGGAAAGCGGTTTGCCACCGCCTACAGATCAATATCAGCCTCCACAGCATATCACCCCGAAACTGACGGCCAGACGGAAAACGCTAACTCATTTCTCGAACAATACCTTCGCCAGTATGTTAGCTTTGCTCAGGACGACTGGGACGAGTGGCTCCCATTGGCCGAATTCGCAGCCCGTAACGTTGTTAGCGATTCAACGGGAATGTCTCCATTTTTTGCGAACACAGGCTACCACCCCCGAATGAGCTTTGGTCCCCCTCGCGCAATACCACTCGCGGCATCCAAAGACCTGGCAGAACGCTGCAACGAGGGGAACGAATTTGTCGCCAAGATGCAAGAAATCACTGATCTACTTCGGACAAACCTGCTCTCAGCTCAAGCCTCACAAGAACAGTTCGCCAACGCAAATAGATCACCGGCGCCAGCGTACCGAGTTGGAGACATGGTGCTACTTAGCACACGCAACATCGATTCGGCCAGACCCATCCCCAAACTAGATCATAAGTTCATTGGCCCTTTTCGAATCGAGCGCGTGCTCAACCTCACTCCTACCAACTGAAGTTGCCACATGAATTAGACTCAATTCACAATTCATTCCACGCCAACCTCCTACGACCGTCACCAAACGACCCGCCCCGGCCAATACAACACACCGCCCCACCAATAACGCTAGATGCAAGGGGGAGAAACTCTGGGCGATTGAAGCAATACTGGACTCGAAACGCACAAAACAGAAAGGCTTCCAGTACCATATACTATGGAGAGGCTTGACCTTGAGCAGGCAACATGGGAACCACTACAGAACGTCGTCAACGCTCACATCGCCATCAGAGACTTCGAGAAGCACAGCAAAAACAAACCCAGACCCACGAAACAAGAAGTGCAAAATGCTCGCCTACAGGCTCAGCAAGACGTGGAAGAATCAGAAGCGATGGAGTAAGGGAGGCCCATGTGTGAGGGAACGATCATGTGACTTTCATACTTTATGAAATGTCTCACTTTGATTCATGTAAATAGCGAAAGTCAGAGTCTTCCTTAGGAACCTCCTTCTCTCTTCGTAGACAATCACTTTACCCAAGTCGCACCCGACCTTGTTCGTGCACTTGTACCGTCACACTTGCAAAGACGAAGATAGCCTGGTGCATATGTTCCATGAGCCTGTTCAATTGCCTCACTCATTTACATTACATTAATCACCCTACGTTCAACGGCTCTACGTGAAATGCAGTTATGCTGTCGGGCCTATGACGACGGCAAATGTGTGCACCGGCGCGCAGGCAAAGCCGTAAAGTAGGGCTCTAGTTAATGGGCCCTTGGTTTTCCTTATCGGGCCCTTAAAGTGTGGCTAAAATAGTCACATGACTGTCGCGTCCCTTTCCCCGCCAAAACATTAGCCGCCAACTGTGAAAAGCTGTCAATACGGCCTCGTGAGCCAAAGCGAATCCCAAAGTGGAGGCGGGCACGAGTAGTCAATGGTGCATCCAGCTAGAACGCGACAAAGTTGACAACGCGCATACAACGCACGCCAACGTACGAACGCACGAACGCATACCAAGGTGAGGGCATCCCCAACGCACCAACGCCGCACCGATGAAGTCACCTTTCCGCCGCAAGTTCGAGACCTGGCAAGCTGCTGCAGAGAGCGCCGTAGCTGCATTACGGAGCGAGAGCCTAATCAGGGACTGTGTCGTTGTAGCGACGTAGCCTCGGGCATATGTTCCACGAGCCTGTTCAATTGCCTCACTCATTGACATTACATTAAGCACCCTACTTTTAACGGCTCTACGTGAAATGCAGTTATGCTGTCGGGCCTATGACGCCGGCAAATGTGTGCACCGGCGCGCGTGCAAGCAAAGCCGCAAAGTAGGTTTGACAGTCCGCCACACTTTCAGCCACACTTCAAGGGCCCGATAAGGAAAGCCAAGGGCCCATTAACTAGAGCCTAAAGTAGGGTTGACAGTCCGCCACAGTCTCAGCCACACTTTAAGGGCCCGATAAGGAAAACCAAGGGCCCATTAACTAGAGCCTTGATTAACTACTCCGTACTGTCGTCTTCGAAGTCTAATACAAGGACTTCGATGCCAACTCTTCATACATTCTAGCATTTCAATGGTTTCTGCCGATAACTGCGCTCTATCCCACGAGATTGTACGACGCGCTCCTGAAAAAACTCGCTCTGCCTCGTCACTCATTGCTGGAATTGAGAGGACATCAATTGCCATGATCGAAAGCCGTGGAAAGCGTGTTCGTTGTTGGTCTTGTTACCCAAGATCCTCTTCAGCCAGGAAAATGGCTGGGCCATCGAGCAGGATCGAGCTTATTATATCATACTAAGCGAGCGTGCATTGCCGTGAGCATTATTATGAGGTCCTCTCCAACCAGGCCTGAGCATCATGAAATTCTTCCATTAGCGATTAGTAGCCGCCGGGAGCAGAGTAGTCATCGTCCTTGGGGCTGGGAGTCTTGGGCTTGGAGCCGTGGGTGGGCTTGGAGTGGTGGGCGGAAGCAGTCTTGGCCTTGTCACCGTAGGGGTTGTTGCCCTGGCAGTTCTCAGTGACGACGTAGCTCTTGCCCTTGCTGTTCTTGCCGCTGAGCTTCTGGCCGTTGGGAGCGTAGATGTCGAGGTTCAGGTAGCCGGCGCCGTTGGTGTTGCCCCAGAGAACGCGGATCGGGTAGTACTTCCCGGCCTTGATGTTCTTGTAGACGGTCTGGGGCTTGTTCTCGCCATACCAGGACTGGCAGATGTCGGCGTTATCGCGGGTCGAGTACTTGACGTGGTCGTCACCGAACCACATGAGGGTGATGTCGTCAGACTTGGGCGAGGTAAACTTGTACTTGCCGCTCTGGCAGGCGAAGAGGAAGGTTCGGTACTCCATGGCGGCGTTGGCATACGTCTTGTTATTCGCGTCAGAGGTCAGGGAAATGTCGGTGACGATACCAGACTCGAGAGGCTTCTGCTTTAGGAAGTAACCGAGGTCGAACGACTTGTAGCTGCTGCTAAAGTCCTTGGAGAAGGGGTTCGAGTAGCGGTTGAACTTGACACCGTGCTTGCCGCAAGTGGGAGTGGCACAGGCCTTCTTGGTCGGCGTCGGGCGGTGCGTGTAGCGGCTCGTCGGCTTGGGCTTGGGGCAGCTCTCGCAGCGGATCCTGTCGACCTGCCGGAGGAGGGCCTCGAGGGTGGCCTTGACACGGCGGACTTCATCCTTGCAGCCCGTGGGGCCGTGCTTGTCCCCTTGGCCTTGGCCGTTCCAGTAACTGTCACCGTAGCCGTTCCAGTAACTGTAGTCACCGTACCCCTCAGGGCGGCGAAGCTTTTCGTCATCAGCCGCCTGGATATCGTGAACTTCGTTGATCTCGGGAGTCTCCTGGACGCCAACGGCCTGCTTGTTGGCGACGGCCTGCTCCTCTTGGGTGACGGCGAGGCCGTTACCCACGAGGAGGGCGACTGCAGCAATGCTGAACTTCATTTTGCCGCGTTGGAAAAAAAGGTTGAAAACCTAACAACCAAATACTAGTCGGGAAGATGTGGCTGATGCTAGATCTCAGGCTTTGCTGTGTTACTGAAGCTTGTGATGGTGAGCTGATGAGGAGAAGAGTTGGTTTGGGGGTCCGTCTGGGCTCACTTTATAGTCGGATGGCAATCTGTTCTGCTTCTTCTGTCGAGAAGAAGGGTCTAAGACTTGATCCTGAAGCCTGATAGCTAGCTGAAGGTGTAGGGATGAGACAGGATGAAACCGGGATGACGTGGCAAGCTGACGCGGAGAGAGGGTGCCTATGCATTAGTAAGTCAGCAAGGAAGGAGATGGAAGATTGAAGAAGAGAGGGCAAAGGGCATAAATGGGAGAACGGTACAGCAGACAGGGAGAACAACGAGAAAAAACAGATGCACCCTAAAAACATTATGCCCCTTGCCCTACTCTCTTCGCGAGATCTTCAGTTTGACTCCATCTACCGAGTACAAGACTCGGTCCAGTCCATTCTGTTCGACCTAGTTTACCGAGGGCATAGCTTTGCTGGAATGTCCCGACTCGTTCTGCTATGGAGGCTGGAATCCGCAACCTAGGCGTCCAGGAGCAGCGGACAGCCCACGGCTGGAGAAAAAGAGCGACAGAGCCATATGGTCAGCATGGTGTAGGTCTCGAGGGTGCGGGAGGCGGGAAGCCGCTACTAGGGATTTGAACAAGAGCGGCAAGTTTCGAAAGGAGGAGAATTTTTTGTGGAAGCGGAGTGCTCACCAGAGACTCCCTGGATAACCTAGTGTCAAACAGAACAGCTACGCTAAGCCAAGCTGCCGGCCAGTCGCCCTGGGAGACCGTTCCACTTTTACCGCCGTAGCTTGCCACGCCAATCAGTCTGGCAGCGCAAGTCTAGCTGGCAATGCCGGTTGCCGGAGTGCGGCACGTGAATATAGGAGGCTAGCCAGCTAGCTGGTTCTCGCTGCCGTGGCAGCGGCTAGTTTGAGTCAAGGCGACCCGGACTAGTCGTTCGTGCAGAGACAAAGGTCAAGCCATGGACTCAAGACTAAACTCGGTGACAAGGTTAAGCTGCAATGTGCAAATAAGCCACCATGACGTAAGTAGCCGCTATCTCACAGGTTTCTTGCTGGTTCGGAAGGGTCTTCACTTGAGGCCTGTCCATATTTAAGAGATGGCTTCCGTTTGACCCTTGGCCGGGGTTCTCCAACGACTGTCTTTGCCCAAGCCCCGGCCCAATCAGATTGAACCATTGCCACACCACTCCCTTTTAACTGCTTACATGCTGTGGCAGAGAATCCCGACACGTGTTCTTGCCCTTGAAGCCGCACCAGCAATGCAGCATTGCAGCCGCAGAAGCTAGTTCCAGTTCACTCTTGTTTTCCCCCTTAACGGCGACAAAATGGATCAGGAATGTTGATCTCTGTGACTCATTAGTCGAAGATTGGCTGAAAAGAGCAACACTTAGCGTTTGAGAGCCAATCCTATTGCCAGTGGTATCGAACCTTCTAGATGACAACGTCATCTAGGCGGCCTGGGTGGCGACATCGCCACCCCAAGGCATCCACAGGTGACAGAACTATAAGAAGTCACTTTTTGTTAGAGAGAAGGAAGAATATCTTAAGAGACTTAATCAAGTCATCAATTGCATGCCCTCTGCGCGAGAGCGGCGGCGATGGTCATTTCCAAGGATTCCCCGATACGATCGATAAACTGAATAATTAGACTCGCTTGGTGCAGGCGATTAGCTACCGGTATGTCTGAGGAATCCGCAACTCTTGTATCAAAAAATGCTAGTTGCTGGACATGGCTCTTGTGCCTCAAAAGGCATCCTCAAGGCACAGAAGAAGTCCTTTCGTTCCTCAAGGCAAAGCCCGGCTGGATCAGCGCGGCCATCTGAGACCATCTACGGCTCATCATTGGCCGATCTCTAATAATTCACATAACTACGCGGGGACAGGAACTCAAGGAGTTCAGCTGATATCACAGTCAGCCATATTCAAGACATTATTCGAAGCATTTTGGATTTGAGTACCGGTAAGCCGACGAAAGCGTGGAGCATTTAAAGATGGCTGAACCCCCCCTCGTAGTAATAGTGTCTATATTGTTACTGACAGCTGGACTTTAGCTTGATACTTTTATTATTCGCACTTTGAGCATCTTTGGCAAAAATGAAGGTTACGATCGTCCTTTTGACAGCCCTTGCCGGACGGGGACTAGCAAGCCCAGTTTTGGACGCAGAATCAGGAGCAAGACTGGAGAAACGAGTGAACACCGTCGTCAACGGCGTCAACTGTTGTTGTGTCGGGAACCCCGAGGCCAACGGTTGTCCCAGCTGTGCCGTCCTCAGTAACCCCGCCGTCTGTCGCGCCGCTCCCCCCGTCTGTGGTGCCTGTAACGATCTCGCCAACCCCGCCCTCGCCAACGACGCCGCCGGTACCGTCGCCCGCTGGTGGGCCTGTCGCGCTGGCAGATGTGCCTGTGGTATCGAGCCCGCCTCCCACTGTACCCCCGGTGGTGGATAACTCCGATTTCTTGTGGCGGGTTCACCGTTCATTTGGCGAGTTTGGAACGTTTTGATAGGTTACGGCATGGATGCTTCGGTCGTTGTATGGAGTTCTCCTCGGGAGTTTAAGCTCGGCCGACCGTTAGCAGGTAGTCTTCACCAGCGATGGTGATCAGGGCAGCGGAATGCCTTGAAGAGACGAAAGGTACTCGGGAGCCAATAGCAGTGTGGATAACAGACCGACCGACCCAGACCGGCCCCTTCGGTCTGTCGGTCTGGGTTTGTCGTGGCTGCCGGTCTGTCGGTCTAGGTCTGTCTGGGTTGGAGGACCGGTCGGTCTGATGGTCTGATGGTCTGATCCCGAGGTGCTATAGTAAGGGGCATTGTCAAAAGACTAGAGACCAAAAATGCATTTTCTCTACTTAGGATGCTGCTATGCGACCAACCCTTTCATTAGCCACTGCTTTTGAAGCTGATCGGCCTCGACTATTTCAGGAGACAGCCGATTGCGCTCGTCCGTGATCATCTTCTTTGTCTGACTGAACACTCTCTCACATTCAGCACTCATGCCAGGAATCGAGAACAGATCCAGCGCCATTCGATATAATACTGGGTATTCCTGCTGATGCCGGTTCCACCACTCAAGAGGGTTTGCGACGTCAAGTGTCGAGAAGAAGGTCCCAACGAAGTGAGGCCTCTAGGTTTCTCTAGGTAATACAGCTCGAAGCCAGGTAAGGAGGGAGGCTTATGGTCCACTGCGGGGTTCGGAGTATCTCCTATTCGAACGGGATCTTCCAAGGAGTCCAGTATCTCTCTTACTGGCTCGGGGACCTCAAGAGACTGAACTATCGACCTAATAGCTTGGAGAGCTATTGATTGGGAAGATGGAGCTGAATGTGTTGACGTAGATGACTTACGTGGCCTTCAGTAAGTGGCAAGAAGTGCCCTCTTCCTGATAGAATATATACTATACCTGAAAACGGGATATTAACTTGGGGAAGGCATTGAGGGATATAAAACGGGAGGTTTAGACGGATGAGGGCAACGGAAGAGAGCAAGCAACACATGCGTTTCACATACCCTCTGATCGTGTGATGCTCAACCTTTGAAAAGTCCCTTTATCCACGTTTATGCCCACTTTTGCTCTCTGCTTCGCGAGACACACGTGTCAGGGATGGCATCAGGCAAATGAATGAGAATTATCTGAGGAACAAAGAAGAGAAACGACTGGATGCACACATTCGTGCAATATATACCTTCATCATGCGGCGAAGCTGCGGCGGAGCCGCGGTGCAGCAGTGGCAGTGATGGGGCATGACGTTTCAGGATCTGTGATACGTGACACAAAGCTCTCTATTGCGCCGTTGTGCATGTGAAGCCGCATTATCCTCCTCGATGAGATTGATGGAGTCGATGTGCCGCTATCCATGCACGTGTATCCCTTCCCCCAAATGGATGAGTGGGAGAGCCAGTGGTTCTTCTTCGACGCCCAGCTACATCCGTATCAGCTGCATTCCGCCGCAGAGTCGAAGATGGAGACGAGTCAGCTGTCGGGATGTGGGAAGACTCGTACGCAAAGTTAGCCCAGGTCCGTGGACATATGTGTGTTCAACCGTATGTTGAAGCCCTGCGTGCAAGCATCACTCCGACAGAACCCCAACCCCACAAGACTGGGGAGAACTGACCGGCCCTGCCTCTAGGATCGCGATGAGGCCTCTGAGGCTTGCGAATGGCAGTTTCCCAACCATCGCACCGCGTGCTAGCCTCCACGGACCCATCGACACGACAACATTCCGTTTCAAGGCCGGATCGCTGAGCATTAACCAGCTAAAGTGCTGTGGCTTCGTCCGGTGTAGCACATATCTCGTACCGCCCCTTGGCAGAGACCCGACATTTAAAGGCGGCCAGATGTTCCACATCCTAGTGTACTTGCCACACGATCAGCAGCCTTGGAAAAGCCGTATTGATTGGATGAAGAGCGCACCCGAAGGCGGCTTCGCAGCCAGAAAATGGATGTATGGGAGAGGCAGCATCGTCGGTGTGCTGAACCCTGCGCTGCTAGAGGAGGAGCTCCAGCCTGGTCAAGATATCCTAGTAGTGCTCGCGGATGAGTTCGGCTTCATATCGAACGCTACGTTCGACAGTGCTGTAACGATGAGGAAACAGTCTTCTCCACAGAACGCAAAGGCCGAACCGGGGAAACGACGAAACCCTTTCAGCAGCAGCCCGGTTGCTTCGCCATCTAAACGCACCAAGGATTCTTCGTCAAGTAGTCGGGCGAATGATGGCATGTTAGAGGCCGTGGACGACCAATACATCCCTATCGACCCGTGCCTTGCGCAGGAATCCGCAGATCACGAGACGGGAGCAATATTTCTAGCAGGTTAGCATTCGATGCAACACCGGGAAAGGCTTTACAGAGCAGAACTGAGCAAAAGACTGATGCAGAAATGGAGATTTAACAGAGTCCCAGTTAGAGAAACGAGGTGCATCTGTTCTGTCAGCCGGATGTGAAGTGCAACTATTGAAGCTCCCTCCAGAAGGCACCACTTACCCTTCTTTAAAGAAATAAGACGAGAGCTCTTCGAATTTGCCAAGTCGCAAGGCTACGGTATTCGTATTTGTCGATCTTTCCAAAAATGCTCGAAAGTCACAGGAGGCCCAGTTGCGAAGAAGAGGCTTGTTTGGGAATGTAACCGCGCAGGGGGACAGGGAGGAAAGAAAGACGGGTTGTCCTTTTCGTTCAATGCCGTGGAGATTCAGATGGGCACCAACAGATGGGAAATAAGACACAAGGAAAAGGCAAGTCAACATGTCCATAATCATGGACCAAGCGATGGATCTGTTGCACACCCTAAGGGAGGAGAGCGGATGGTGCAAAGCGAAAACGGGTCAACAATGCAATTACGGCAGAATGCTGGCTCACCACATCGCACACCGGGATGAGAATCCCAGCTGAGCAAAGAGAGGTGGCAGCATGGATGGATGCGCGAAATTTAACTTGCCCCGTTCAGGCATACCTAGATGATGAGTTCCTTTACAATGGTAATGGCCCCGGAGGTCGGGGGCAGCCATGTAAGGCTCGGATGTCTTGCCGAGCTTAAGTTCTCCATAGTTTGGGGAAGGCCCTTCAAGGGACTCCCTCAAAGGCACAGTAGATATGACATGCAGCATTGCGCTGTTCAGATTGGATCGTAGAGAGTGCCTAGTTGTGTAGTATGATATCGTCCGGCATGCAGGCTGCAAATGATGATGAACGATTGGGAGTGCCCCGTGGCTTTAGCCCTCGGCGACCTTCTGGTCCGACCCCAGCCCGATATATGTGTGAGGCCGCCTGTAACCCGGGCACACAGAAGGAAGAGGCTCCTGCCCCGTCGTAGAAGTTTGGCCAGCTGTGTGGCTTGTGGCTGGTGCGTGAGGCGCAGCCAGCACGGATCGTTGAGTGGCCCGAGCTTCGTCAAGGACGGGGCGGAAGAAAGACCCTTGAGTTCCTCAAGGCATACAACAGGAGACCGGCCCCTTTCAGGGTCCGCCAATGCCTTGAGGAACGGGACTGAATTTGGTTCCACACTGGCAGGTCTGCTGAGACGATGAGGCTTGCTCCCGGTAGTGTGGCTGCTTGGACGCCATTTTACCCCGCCACAACAAGGTGGGTTGAGGGCGGGCGGGGTAAGAACGCGGAGGTAACTTGTAAGGGATTTTCCGATGATCTGCCGGATCTGGTGATCTGCCGGATTGCGGCGACTTCGCACGCTCAACATCAATCGACAATAGCTCAACAACAACGGTGCCAATTGACGTATCCTTTGATTTCCTGAATCATCAGAAGCAGTGAAAGTCTGGCATATATTTAGAACTTTTATCTAGGGGCAATGCGCTGCGGTGCTGACATCAAACCAAGCAACGGCCAAAATAGGATGCCGACAGATTGTGTAAGTCATTTCAGCCAATACAGCAAAACAGAACATTATTGGCTTTCATCGTAGGCTTTAATCATGTGGATTCTCCCATTCTATCCATAGTGCAGAACTTGGCTCAGGATACTGCAAAAATGGGGTTGGAAGGGCGAGCTGGATAACTTCATTCTACGCACCCGTAATGAGCCAGATTGAACGTGATTCGACGGTACAAGCATCTTCTGAAAAGAACCTATCTATGCATCTGAATGTAAGGTTTATTTTTAGCTTGAAATTCAGTGCGCGAGGCTCCGCTTTCACACCTGACAAGGAAAGACGTGCACGAAAATTGAGAAATTCGACACCCTACCCTAAAACACGTATAACATGGATGAAATGGGCTTTCTATTCCTTATGAGCATTTGAACGAACAGGGTATTCCTCTTATTATAAGAAAACAAGGCAAAATTGCTCGGCGTATTAAAAAATGGCAACCCATCCTCCCTTACGTTCAAGATGTGCGTCAGTCAAGAGATGGCATCGCTGCCCCATTTCTCATCCACCAAGACAAGCCAGCACAAACTCTGGACTTTTGGTTCGTGAAACGTGAATCAAGTCGTCAATAAATATTTTTAACACGTCAAAAACGAGGTGGACGAATCACAATATTGAAATGAGCAGCTCACCGGTACGTTCGACCGGTTTACCAGGGTGAAAGCTCGAAACGGTTGTGCTTATCGCCTTTGGTTCCTGATGGCCACTTAACCATTTTAGTATCGAATTTATGGAGTGGTGTGACCGGCACCGAGTGATCGTTGTGGTGTTTCCTCAATCCATTCATCGGCTGCAACCCTTGATGTATCGTTATTCAGCTCTCTCAACAGCGTATACGCATGATCTTATCCAGTACACAGACAAATCAAAAAGGTTCATTGGATTGCTGAAATCGAAGATCTAGACTGTGTTTTGGAACGCATTTCAGGAAGTAGTCGAGAAGTCCTCTGTTGATGCTGGCCGCAACAGCCGAAGGCTGAGCAGCACCCTCGGGAGCCCTCAATATGAGTTTTAAGTGCTTGATATGAGAGTTAAAGTATGCAGAGAACAAGTAGTCACAAGAACCAGCGCAGGCAGACCGGTAAGGCTTCAAAGATGATCTCTTCTGCTGTACAGATTCTAGTGCAGACGAGGTGTTTAGCTCTAAAAATGTGGCTCAAGCTCGCCAAAAATGACAGTGAAAGGACTCCAAAGAAAGAGGAGGCTCTGAAGAAGGAGGCCTGAAAGCTTCAGCGACAGCAGAAGGCAGTGGAGCAAAAGCTCGCTCTAGAGAAGAGGAAGCAATGAGAGGCGGAAATTGGGAGAAAACGACGGATGACGGAGGCCGTGAAGCAAAATAAGGAGATAAATTGGCATTATTAACAAGAGCTGAAGATTTTGAAAGTGGAAAAGCCACAGAAAATGCAGAATGAGCGACGGGTGGCTTCTGAGGGTCGCGAGAGGAGTCAGGATGTTCACGCTGCAAAAATTGTCACTCTTCCGTTCACACCAGAGCGGGCCATAGCATTGCAGGTACCAAACACACTATATAATAACGCAAATAACAAGGCAATGATAACTTCAAACGACATATCCTGTCCTCAAAGGCCCTCTTTAGCTGTTGATAGTGATCGGGAGGCAATGGGTGCATTTCGGGGACTTGCGCGATCGGAGAGTAACAGAAGACGACCTCGATGGCTGGATGACTTCAAAAAAGATTGAGTGGCATCTTTGAGCATTATTAACTGCTCTTATAAGATTTTAGAACAATGCCTTGAGGAACGAGGAACGAGTGACGAAAGGTTCTTGCCTTGAGGAACGAAAGGATTTCTATGCCGCGCTTTTTTGCCCCCCGAATCCGCGCCTCTGATTCGCTAGCTTTCTCGGCTTCCCGTGCCTTGAGGAACGAAAGGCTCTTCTGGACGCGGAGAAACCCAAAACCGAAACCCCCAAAAATTTTTAACCCTCGAAAATCCCGCCTTCTGATTGGCCCAGACTTTTTTTCCCTCTCTCGTCCTAGCCCCTCCTTGCAAGCTTCCTTGTCATTGGTGCCTTGTGCCTTTCGCTGCATTTTGGCCCGTGCCCTTTGCCTTGCCTTTCCTTCTGAGGACCGAGCCGATTTTTAGAGCCGGGACAGGGCCTGACTGACCCAACCAGGCTAGGCCCTCGCGCCTTTGCGCACACACTCGCGAACTTGGTTTGCCTTTGGCCACCGAACCTCTCCCGCACGGGCCGCACCCTGACACGAGCACGGTGCCGTCTAGCGCCCGGCATCACGATAGCTTCACGTGCAAGCCCGCAGGGTCTAAGGAATCAACGTCTAGCCATTCCAAGGCCTCGCGAACAGTCTTGTCACTCAGCCGACCCAGCCTCGCTTCTGCGTCGGTCATCTCGTCCGGGACTTTGTTGCCCACCAAGTCTCTCTCCCGCACTTTGGAGACGAGCATGATGCCATCCAACGTCGGGCAGCGGACAGCTGCACGTACAGGCTGTACGGGTCGCACTGCGAGGACACGGCGCGTCCTCGATGTTTGACGTCCGCGTCCCCCGCAGCTCCAGAGCCACACGCTCGAGCGTCCTGCCCTGCACTTTATAGTCTGTGCACGCGAAGGCTGCCGTACAGGGCAGGCCCTTTCGACTGACGTCGTTCTGCTGCCACGGCCTCTTTCGCTGGCATTGTATCTTGACGGTCATGGGCGTCAACAAGATCGTGCCTGGCGGCATCCCGACGAATTGAACATCTTTCGTCGTCTCGGACTCTAGCATTATCCCCGCCGGCGGCCCGAAATGGATCGTCATGTCGGCCGAGATGCGATGCCCCGGGTACGACTTGTCGAGGATAACCTCCAGCGCCGCGTAGCTGGCACCGTTCACCAGCTTTAACCCCTGGTGGGTGTTGTGGTTCACGACGACCGGCATCCCCGGCACGAACATGAAGACGGCCGGCACCGGTATTGCGCTATCGTCGCCCTGGTTTAGGATCATGATGGCCTCCTCCTCCGTCGGCAAGCCCTCCTTCCATTTATGGCCGGATATGAAGATGCGTAACGTCGACCGGTGCTGGATCTGGAACGCCAAGCTGGCCTCCATGTTCAGGTTCCACCGGTTCCTGTTCAGCGGCGTCACCACGGTGATGCCTGATGCCCACGGGATCTGCCTACCCTCCTGGTAGCACCTGGTGTTGAGGAGGTCCAGATCCGTGCGGTCCTGCACACCCAGTCGGATTCGCTTTAACAGCCTCTGCAGCTCTGGGTCGTCGGCGGCGCGCACTTGCTCGTCCAGCATGACGACCGCCGTGAACCTCTTCCACAGCGCGTGCGCCTTGTCGTGCTGGTGCCGTTGCTCGGCCTTGAAAGAGTTGTCCATGTCCCACGAGACAACCGTGCTGGGGAGGAGGATCGACCGCTCTTGGACCGGGCGGAATTGGTGGAAGTCTCCGCAGAAGAGGACGATGGGGATCCCTCCAAAATCCCGGTGCGACCCGCGCAGCCGGCAGAGCTGCTCGTTGACTGCGTGTAGCGTCCGCGCCCCGAGCATGCTAACCTCGTCAACGACAAGCACGTCCTTCTCCTGCCAGTCCATCCGGGACTGCCCGTGGACGAACCGCTCCGCCTGGTTCGGCATTCGCACCCCGTCGAGATCCTTGCCCGTGTTTGCGACTGCCGCGAGATCTTTGGAGAACCCGCAGGCGGAGTGGATCGTGATGCCGTTGATCCGTGCTGCTGCAGTCCCTGACGTCGCCGTTATTATCAGGCGATTCGATTGATCCTTGGACGCGAAGAGCTCGACGAGCGCCTCGATAACTCGCGACTTGCCCGTTCCGCCCTCTCCACCGACGAATTGGCACAGCTGACGCACGTTGCCTTTTTCCCTGCGCCGTATTAGGTCAAGCTGACGGCATATGATTAGGAAGGCGATCGCCTGCTTCTTGTTCAGCGTGAACCTCGCTACCAGGGCCTTACCCGCCTCGATAAAGGAGGTTGAGGTGCCAAGCCGGATCTCCATTCCCGCGCTGGCCTCCTCTACCGTTTCCTCGAGGTCCGCCGCCGTCATCTGGATATCGTCATCCCCGAAACCCGTGAGCACGCTGCGCACCGCCGCCCGACGATCAGTCACTGCTGCCGTGGGCACGCTTTGTATGCCCCGGATCATCTTCTCCCTCTCCCTGGATGCACAGGTTTGCTGCGACTTTATGGCCCTAACCTGACTCTGCGGCGGTATTCTGGCTCCGGAGAATGCCCGCCCGGGATGTTGATTCGTCTTGGGCCCCGTTCGGATAGTATTGCGGCCTGGAACTCGGAAGACGACGACAACGCCAATTGCTGGAAGCGGCTGAGCTCCTGCATCATCGCCGTGAGCTCTGGCGAGCCGGCCGTGATTTGGTTCGCCCCGATCGAGCTTCTGACAACGTCGATTAGACGCATCGTGTTTCCGGTACTGTCGGCCTGGTATACCGATCCAGGCTCGACACCCGCCTCCCCAGTGCCATCCTCGTCCGGATGTACTGCCGTGGCGTCACGGTCCCCGGATGAGGCTGCCCACTGCTTGGCGTCCCGCTTTGCATCTTCGGCCGACCGTCGCAGCAACTGCACGTTATCGACGTAACATGATATCCTCGGGACCAGAGCTGCTCGTTCCCGCCTCCATATGCGGTCGATGCCACCGCTTTCTTCACCTAAGAAGGACTCCCACGGCACGAATAGCGCAAGATGCTGCACAGCCGCTCTTCGACGTGGAAATTAGCCTTCTCGACCCGACACCCTGGTCCGTCGACGACAAACGCACCTTCGGTAGCACGACCTTCGTCGTCTTCGTCGAAATCCTTGCTCAAATACCCATCGAGGCAGACCATGGCCTGCTTGCCCGGTCGCCTGAGCACCTGCACCCAACGGCTCCCGGAGCCCAGCCGCTCTCGAGCGGGACCTCCCAGGCGGCGGGCCTCTTGTCCGTGTCGTTGCGCTTCAGCCTGACCAGCGAAATATAGTCGTAGAGACACAGCCCTCGAAGGACATCTCCCGATGACGATATGCCTCGACGCGGCAAATCCTCTGGCCTGCTTCTTCGACGAGTATTGACTCGTCCACGGAACCATCTGCAGTGGATGCGCCGCTTTCCCGTCGAAGGTGCGGCCATTGTCGGAAGACGTGCCAGTAGAGCACCGAAACGTTCAGGAACGCCCAGGCACCGTTATTCGTCAGTTCAGTCGGGTATCCCAGAAGATCCGCAATAACCTCGACCTGCGATAACGGCCTCTCCGTAAACACGCGATTCGCCACCTTCATCAAGAATTGTCGTGTCCTGTTTTGTTTGCCATCGTCCCCGCCACCTTCGCCTCCACGAACCTCCGCGTCGTCGGCCATTTCGTCGCCTGCTCTGGGAGGCAAGAGATCCGCGGCCGCGACGACGCGCTTCCACACGGGGTCCTCTACCTTGGTCGCATAGTTGGTGACGTAGAAGACGAGGGCCATGGTCTTGCGCTGTGTGGCGATGAAGGATATGTCATGGTTGTGGCGAAGCCCCACGGCAATCGCCTTGTTCCACCGATTCACCATGCTGTGCGACCTCCGAATCCGCAGCACGCCGTCTCCCGTGAAGGCCGTCTCGTCGACCAGTCCCCACGGCGCCTTGAAACGACATAAATCACTCTTGCGCCCCCTTGCCCAGCGAGTACTTGACGCAGGTCGGGCTATGGGTATGGATCTGCGTCGCGCCGGCACAGAAGTTCGCTTCCTCGTCGAACGAGGCTGAAAATTGCCGTTCATCGCCCAGCAACTGCGATATATCTGATGTTACCGATCGCTCTGCCTGGATTGCGCAGAAACCTTCCTGGTCCAGATCCTGTCTTGTTCGTCAGCTTTCTCGGGTTTGACTGAACGGAGGACACAGGCCAACACGCCGCCCCCCGCGCCATACCTCGGAAAAGACGCTGTCGACGTATCTGACAATGCGCTCTCGGTATGCCGCTTGATCCTCGCCGTGGATATCGACAAGCATTGAGCTTAGATGCGCATTTCCCTGCAGCCAGAGCAGTCCGTGAACATGAAGCGCCCTCGCTCGTTGGTCTCCACGGCGCCGTAATAGTGGCTGATGCGCCCGAATACCGACTCCTCGCCCACTCTGACGTAATTTTCGAAGAACAACGTCATCTCTCGGTGGAAGAATTCGGCCGAGCTCAACGGGTCCGAGATGGCCAGCCGCGCACGTTTGAACGCCATGTCGAGGCTTCTCAGAAATGCCTCGGCCGCTTCAGGATCACGTGTGCGGTACGCCGCCAGTCTCAGCTTCACCGGGTTCGTGATGTCGTTCGGGCTGAGCGTGAACCAGATTGCAGGCACGCCACGACACAAGATGAGTGACTGGATCTTGCGTCGCATGCTCAGACGGAGTTCCTCGACATGGGCTGCCGGTAGCCGTATAGCGAAAGGCATCTTAGAAGCTCCTTCACGCCATCATCGGTGGTCGTGCCCGAGCTCTCAACTCCACCCTGGCCGCCGCCAACCTATCTGCGGTGAGCGACTGTACGATGCGCTCTACTCGGGAAATTCTTCCGCGTCACGCTGAGCATGCTGACACGACGATTCCTCGACCGCACGTCCATGTTGAAAAGGAGAAACGAGAAGATGGCATGCGTCGCGAATCGGCCACCATGGCGCCGCAGCACGATGCCGGCCCACGTCCGAAGGCTCATGTTCCGAGACGACAGGAGATCTCGCGCGGCCGTCTCTTCTCCGGCAGCCGTACCGCGCGGATTGACCGACCCCTCCGGCCCTAGGATGAATTCCTCCGCCAGCCGTGGTCCTCCAAATCCGAACGGCAATAGGGTGGAAAGGTCTTGGCGAAGAACGAGGCGTCCAGCGAGTCGGCGAATTCTCTCCACGACCAACGTGAATGTACGGCTCACAGACATCCATACCGCCTCGACCTGCCCCCGCCGACCTTATCCATGCCTCGGCCCCGGCCGGCCGTCTCGGCCCCGTCGCCGCTCACGGCATTGCAAGCAAAGCGGAGCTTCTCCGCGTCCGACACGTCCGGCGGTCCGTCCAACGCAAACATGCCGGAAGAGGTTATCTCGTTGATCATTTTGGCCCCGTCTTCGGGCTCGGCATCATTAGTCCCATCCGCTCCATCCCCGTCGGATTCTCGACTCGGCCTGTCCGATACGTCTTGTCCCTGGTGGAGCCGAGCAAGGACTTCCTCGATCTCCGCCGAACTATCGCCGTCCATGGCCCGCTCTGCGGGCGGCACGACCTGTGCCGTTCGCGTCTTCTCCCACGCAGACGGCTCGTTCCGCTCCATGCGTCCGTACACCATCGACGGCACACCGTGCGATGGGGTTCCCAACTATCCATTTCCGCCTTGTCGATCTCAATGTCGGCGTAATGGGGATTGTTCTTCTTCAACCAGACAAGCGCTCTCTCGACGACTTGACGCCTCACCGACAAGAGACCCGACAAGTCGCTCGGTGCTGGCTTCTCCGCGCCCTGCCACGAGACATGTATCTCGTCCATTGTTTGCAAGAGCGGGTGCGGGAGCACCTTCTCGCCAGCTCCTGCACGTTGTTTGGGAACACCGTGATGTGGCCCTTGACGTGTCTCGGATACCTCACGGCCTGCCGCTGCCCGCCCGGAATGCTATACCTCGTCACAAAGCCGTAACACGAGTTCAGCGAGATGAGCTTCTCCTCGACCGGCGTCAGGCCATTAAGCTCGTCGGGAACATGTGCTCACAGCCGAGGCGACTGTGAAGGTGGACAGCCGGCGACAGGTTCCCGCGCCCCAAGCATCGAGCACTCCACACAAATCGAGACGGACTCGTCCTGGGGAAAGCAGCTCCGGCACGCAAATGGCGACCGGCCGCCTTTTGGAACGCTGCTTGACCTCCATTGGTCCCATGTGCTCTCCCTCAACTCCCTCCTTGTGCGCTTGCGGTAGCACATCATGCAGGTCATTATCGGCAAGGTGCTCACATCGTGGAACGCCCGATAGAACCTTCGCACCGTCGATACCTTCCTCTCGTGCGGTACTGGTGTGCACCAAGTTTGCTCGTTGGATAGTCTCTCCTTCGTAGCAAATTCCTCCTCGAGGTAACACAAGACACTGGCCAATTCCTCCGCCTGCAACTCCTTCTTCCTCTGCCCCGGATGGCCCCCCCGAATGCGTTTCGTCAGGGGCCGATCACGGTCGGGGTGGCGCGTCCTCTTTCGCTGCTCCACGGGCCGCGAAGGTCTCGCTGCCTCGTTTCGTCTCGGTCGATCCTGTTCTTCACCTGTGGTCTGCCGGGGTGGCCGCGCTGTCAACCGTCCGGTGGCTGCCCACCCCTGCTACATCTCCTCTCTTTGGGTTGGATTGGCCGAACCAGGGGCTCCCTGACGTTCCCAGACGGACGCCCGCCGGTCGTTGCCGGTCGGCCTTTTCTTCCCGGGTTGCTTAGGTGTGCCTCGGGCCCCTTCGGCCTCGTCTGCGCACCATCGTTTTGCTTTCCAGACGTGCCGTTCTGCATGCCCTCCTCGATCCCGACGAGTAATCCGGCCTCGTCCGAGGGCGGTCCGGCCGCGGTCTCCATCTCTTTGGGTCGGATGGGCCTTGGCGAATGCTGGCTCCCGTCTCCCAGCCGAAATCTCATCGTCGTTGTCGGTCTTCCTTCCCGGCGTTTTCCCACACCAACTGTCCGCTCAACAAGGCCTTTCAGCCTCATCCGTACGCCACCGCTGGGTTGCCTAGGCCTAACGGTCTCAGGGCCACTTACACCCACGACGGACTGGCTCCCACTATCTAGGCCGTCGTCTCGCCCGACCAAGGCTTCTGGGGGACTTGGTGCTTGCAGACCAACGGTGGCCGCTGCGCTGCTCTCGTCACCCCCAATCCTCCTCCTCTTGGGCAAAATGTGCCGGTACGAGATCGAGTCGTTACCCTCGCACTGCAATACACCGCCGACGGGTGGCTCCAGGCTCCCTCCACACGGCTTCGTACCCAGCCCCGGCATCGCAGCGTCCGTGTCCATACTCACGGGCTCGTCACGCACGTTTATCGGTGCTAAACGCCGTGCTGGCCGCACCTTCGAAATGCCATCGTTCAGATCTGATGTTCCCTTCGCCGCCGACCGCCTCGCCGACTGCCCCTGGGCGACGCTCCTTTGAGTGCTTCCGCTTGTTCTCCCCGGGAGACCTCCTCGGCCGGCGCCTGCTTGGCCTGGATAGGCCGAAACCTGGATACCACGTTCGCCTGTCTTTCATATTCCGGCACCCGCTTCAACCCTTCATCCATTGCACTCAATCTCGCCTCCGCGGTACCCCCCGTTGCAGCAACGGCCGCTGCTGCCGTCACTATCTCGCCTTCTCCCCCCACCGATTGAACCTTGCACCTAGGATTCTCCCCCATGATGATGCTGTCTTAACGCCGAAGATCTGCAAACGGACGATGGATCGCAAAGCTTTCGCCCGGAAGATTCTCCCAGGTTGTCTCGCTTTCTGGTAATGGTGCGCTCCGCCGTATCTGGCATTCTTCCTACCAGCGGTTTCCCAAAACCCTGTTGTCTTTATATCACCGAGGCAACGCGGTAATGCTTGTCTGAGAGGGCCCCCTCCCCCCTCCCCCCCCCCTTTTCGGACGGCCTCGACCAGCCCATGCGTAGGAACTGACACCGCAACCCTATCCTGAGCGACCTTCAACCGCTCTGCCCCGCTTCCTCCGATTCCATCGTCGCAAGTGCGCGTTTGAACAAACGTCGTATCAGACTTTCTTTTCTCCACTGTCCATGCTGCAGCAGGAAAGGTAACCCTGCCATTTGGCTCAGCTCACCCGGACGATAGCTTCCAACACCGTCATCCCCAGCTTTCCCTCAATCCTAACAGCAACGTTCCCAGACCGCCTCTTCGTGTCACTCATTCGTGGCGTTGAGCACCATGTGCACCATTCTTCTCCTCATCCTTGTCATGACAAGGTTGCTCGCCCCTCCCATCCTTTCCGTAATCCCTTCAAAATACAATAAGCTCGTTTACTCTCCGCTTCCTACTTTCCTGCTCCACGGTTGCAACAGTCGTTTGCGTGCGGGACAAAACACTGATCAACCCCACGTAGATGCAGTGATACACCATGTCTTCCTCTTCACCTCTGCCCCACCACACCTTCGAAGGCCGCTCGACAGCCAGAGAGGCGCTGGCGGTGAAATGTCCATGATGTTCTTCGTCCAGCCGGATTGCCCCTCCAGATTCGCCCACCAAGACGAGCATCGCATCAGAGGCCTCAACGCCGAGACCATGGCCCACGTCTTCCTGCCTCCTCCGTCGTGGTTGCTCACTGCGGAATATGCGCCTCTCCGATCGGATACCGACGACTCCGCGACATCCATCTTCTTCAGCCTCAATCTCTCAATTTACAATCAGCCAGTTGTCGCCTCCGAATGGACCGAAGAGTGGTTTTTCATGAATGGCCGCGTCCATCCCTACGCCCTTGCGTGGAGGTCGAGCAACGAGACGGTCTTGAGTCTGGCGCCGGAGGCATCCTTCTCTACACTATGCCCGCCCTTATCATCCGCGACCAAGGCTACCAGCCGTAAGGACTACCCAATTCCTCCGCGCACACCTCGAGCACTAAATTTAGCTGAAATGGGCCTCAAGCGTTCTTCCTAGGCTCTTTGCCTCCATGGACAGCTTCCCCCGTATCCCGCCCATCGTTTCCTTCACCGGCCTCATCGTTGGCCCCGGCCACTCCCTGCTACGACAGGACCTTCTGCCAGGTCTGGACGCCACCCAGCTGAGGTGCTGCGGCTTCCTCCAGCTTTCGACCTATATCACTCCCGGGATCCCTGACAAGATCCCTCTCAGGGGCTTCCACCCGTTTCAGGTCTTCGTCATCTTCCCCATCCGCGCCAACCCGTGGGCCATCCTTTGCAAGAAGATGGCCGAGAGGCGGGACTCTCAATTCCATACTAATATCTCCTTCACCTGCACGGGCAAGGTCGCTGGCCTCCTCGATCACCGCGTCATGGTCCACCAGCCGAGCTCCGACAGAGACTACATCTTCATCGTCGTCCCGGATTCTTGGACTTTTCTCGACAAGACCGCCACCACCGCAGCCGCGTCGGCCTTAGCCCTCACATCGCCACCGAAGCGGCAACCGTCCTCCGCTTCGGCGGCCTTCCAGGATGCCCGCGCTGCCTCTTTCTCTGTCGCTACACCTGGCGCCCTCCCGCCGAGTCCTCCGCCTTCGGCTTCGACTTCGGCTTCGGCCGATCCCGTTACACCGCTGCAGAAGCGTCCTTGTCCCGAGCCCGCCGACACGCCAACGAAGAAACCGCGCCTGTTGCAGCTGGCCTCAAAACCTTCCTCATCGGCCGCCACTGGAAGCTCTGCCACTCAATCGTTCTCTCTTTCCGC